TGAATGTGCAGTTTAGGAATGTGACCAGGATAGCACAGAGGCTGCATGCTTGGAGCTAACTGGGCTCAAGTAAACCTTTCCTGCAAAGAAGTGTCTACACTCACCTTCAGCTTTTATTCAGCAGTCAAGAGGTAACAAGATAATAATAATTTCTTGTTACTAGAAAATGACTGTAACAGTTACACTGTCAAAGTACCCGACTGGAGGCCTATTTGATTTTAGAAGCTACCATTTTTTTGCCTTTAAGTTCATTTATCATGTTTAACATATTTTGTTTCCACAGTAGGAAAGCGAGGTGATGGGTCTGGTTTGTTTGCCCAGTGAGGCACAGACATTAGATATGTTTCAGTGTTTATGCTCTGTTTGTGAATTTCCCCTGTGAGAGTTGCAATACACATAAGCTTTGTGCTCATAGTTAGTTATTTACTGATTTGAAATATGATGATTGTCCCCATTTGATAATTAAATTGATCCAATTAATTTCAGAACAAATTGCATCTTGTACAGTCAATGAGAAAACAGTCCAGAACTGTTGTAAAGAGACAAAACTATGCTGTCAAACCAAGTTATTTATCCCCCAGGAGATTTTAGAATATGAAGTAATCTGTTTTGTTCCAAGCGGAAAACTATTTCACACTATTTTTGTCAGTGTAAATAAAACCATACTTTGTATTCTTTTTTTCTTTTATTATAAAAATATTAACATTTTTCTCCTTCTAGTCACATGCTTTCAGATTCCTACATATTGGTTTGTTTGACCAACTTTCTTCTTTTTCATTAGAAATAAAGAGTTTTAATTAATCAGTCAACTACTACATTTAAGGTGGAAAGTTGAAATGATGGAAAGAGAAGAAACAGTTCTGACTAGTTTGATTAGTCAGAACTGTTTGGTTTCTGTTTTAGAAATGCTGATGTTTTCTCTGTTAAAAAAAACATCTTTGAGGAACACACAGTAGCTGCACTGTGTTGCAATTTCCTTCACAAATGTGACCAAAAGAAAACTTTTTGTTTTTTAAAGTTAATCAGCATTTTTAGGTTCTTGATTCCATGTCAAATGAGGATGAATCCACATCTGAAAATAGCTCTAAAAAATTTACTTTTTCCACTGACTACACTCTCCATGTCTTTTACATAACCCTTTTGCAATTATAAAAAAAATAAAGGTACTTTTAGACCCACATACACCGAAAAATCTTAATGCAAAAAGCAAATATTCCAAACTCTCAGAGAACAACATAAACACTATAAATTAAGGCTTTTAAAGTAATTACTGACCAGAAATATCATTACAAGAGTTATTTTCTGTGTGATGGACTTTCGTCCATAGACTGCTGGATGGACGGACGGACGGAAGTCTGGATGGATGGATATTTTCTGATTAGCTCTCTACTCCTCACATGCTAAAAGATAAATGTAGACCAAGCATTCTTTTATAGCACTGGTTCATTTTTTTTTTTTAGGTTTGATCTTAAAGTATTTCAAAATAGTTCTTGCCTTTGACTGGCTATTGCCACATCCTCGTTATTTAAATCTTTTTTCATCCTTTTGCAGATTTGTGGGTTTTCTGAGGACCATTGTTCTAATTCAAAATCAACTTTTACACATACTTTTGTCAGACAGGTATTTACCCCTAAAATACTATTGACTAAGTAACTGAAGGAAACCTGGATCATTTGGTTGCAAAGCAACACCAAATAATCACTCTTACACCACCGTGCATGAGAGCTGCCTGAGGATTTGGGGCTAAAATGCCAAGTTTGGTTTTCATCGAACATGTCATTATGGCTACTTTATATCAAAGGATTTATACTTAGATCAAATGATTAGTTACAGGAGACGAAAGATTCAGATTTAACTTTCAAAAGCAAGTATCTGCCATAATCTTGTAAAGAAAAAAAACAATGTTAAGCTCTCACAGAGTAAGACACATTTGATTTGTCAGACGTCTGCGTTTACCGGAGGTGGAATCGTTTTAACAATTGTGAACATGTTCTTGTTGTACTGAAACTGAAATTTTAGCTGACAATAAAGTTGATGATTGATTGAACATCGTCTTATTTACAATAATGACTTAACATAATAAACTACTTCGAGGGTAAGTACTTCTCATCTATAAAAAAGTCTTCAAATGGAACTCTTTTATATGTAACACAGAGCTGTAGGTATGTGAGAAATTTTGGAAGTTGTTACAGTCAACTTTAAAATTTAAAAAGCCCATGGAGATTATGCGTGACGCGAGTGCTGCTTAGTCTACAGAAAGTAATCCCCGATTTTTTGGACCCTTTACTTCTAAACAAGCCTTACCTGTTCATTATTTTCATGTCTCGCCCTGCATTGTTTATTTTTTACTCTAACTGTAAACAAAGAACCTTTCTTTTTCCCATTTCTAAAGTTTTACAAAAAATTTAAACAAAAACTCTTAAAATCTGGCCATAAAAGCTTTTTAAAATGGCCACAGTGCATCTTTCGAGCAAAAAAGGAATAATTTTTAATTGCTAAGCTTCCTGATTTTTTGTTACATCACTACTATATCCAATTCTGTGTTCATATTTGCTTCACCATTACCACTAATAAAACAGTAAGTGGCATCTTTAAAGAAGAGATGAATTAAAAACATTAAATGAAAGGAAACAACATTTTTATTCTGGATATATATTTTATTCTTTTCTGAAAAAGATATTCCAATTGTATATGCATATATATATATATATATATATATATATATATATATATATATATATATATATATATATATATATATATATATATATATATATATATATATATATATATATATATACATATATATATATATACATATATATATACATATCAGGGCTTGTATTTCCAGTGTTGTGCATTTTCACAGTTTTAAACAGTTTCCAGTACCAGCCTATTTTCAAGTATTGTGGTACAGGACAAACACATTCTGCCTTTGCTACTCCAGTGCTGCACTTCCAGGAAATAGCTGAAACTCAGTATCATCAATTGACTTTTGTACTACATTTGAGCGTTTTACCTTGTAAAACGATTAACTGAATTTATTGACAAAATATGAGAGAGCAGGATGACCTATAGAAGCCTATATTACATTTTAATTGATGTAAAAACACAAACAAAATCAAAGAAATGAGGCCAAATGGTGCTGATTGCTTCAGGGAGATAATATACCAACTTAAGACAGGAAGGCAAAGGTAGCAGAGGTGTGGGTATTGAAGTGTAGATGTCCATTCACTTGGCACTCAACCCCACATCATTCAATCCAAAATTCTTTTCTGGGAATAAAAAATACTTTTTATTTGAACCATATCTCCAGGAGGTTTGTTAGTCCATGAGGCCGTCAGCGTCACACTGCATAGTTTGGCTTTGTCCAATATTGGCACATCTTGCCATCTTAACAGCTAAAATCAACACAATCAATACAAAATAAACAAAACAAAAAAGAAAAACCCTCATCAAAATATCTCAATTTTGTTTTTCCGTGGCTTTTTTTTAGGGAAGCACAAATAGCATTGCTGTCATTTTCCCCTGGTGTGAACACATCACACATTATGATCGAACACAATTTAGATAAAGAAAAAGACACTTGGTGTCGTTTAGCTTCAACTCAACATATAAACACTGATGATTACTGACAAACACTCTCAGTGATCTCTTAAATTCACTTTTTTTGTTATCAAAATTGCAATATTAAAACAAACAAAACATACAAGCTGCACATCACTCTCTAAATATTAGTGAGCAGGTGTGTTTGTGCTTATGGCTCCATTCTCTCGTGCATCTAGTCGCATGAGCCACGTGCAGGCCCCCTAAATGAGTACACTCTGCCAAAGTGACACTGCGGTGACAATCAGATACTGCGTCCGGCCTGCGCCCTTCCCCTCAGGGGGAGGCTGTGTGCTGGTGTGGGCTTGCTCAACCCCTGTTTCATGACAAGGATATAAACTCAGCTGAACTTTCTTTATGTGTGAGAGAGAGAGAGAGTAGATAGACAATGGCAGCAGACTAGCGCAGGCATCTGTTTGGTAGAGTATTTTTATGCTACATGATGTCCATCTGGGATTTTAAAAGAATCTATGAAATAAAAAGTCCACATGCAGAACGGTTAGAAATTAAAAACATTATATTCAAGCTTGTTTTAAAACAAAGAAATTGTTTGGATTGCATCCAGGCTGCTCTCATAACACAGTTGCTTCGGTTTTCTGAAAGGATTCAGTTTGCCTTCACTTTTACATTGCACTCTGACAGCCCTTTACTGTTACTGTTTGACCTCCTTTAAGCCTGAGCAGTGATTTGAACTAGCCCAGCTCAGCTCAGCTCAGTTCGGCCCAAAGAGAGCTTCAGAAAGTATGTCACTGCATATCTAAATGTGACAGCCGTCCCCCAGTAGCCTCCCTTCTCCTTCAATACTTCCAGTGATGCCCTGTGACTCATTGGCTGTCTTAAGCCAACCATGGGCTTCAGCCATGTTTGAATTTAAAATTATTTAAGGGATAGTCCAGCATTGGTTCTGTTTAAAGGTAGCAGACAATGAATTATCTACAGCAGGAGGAATGGGAATTTGAATTAGTCTGTCCCAGAAGATAAAGCAAACAATTAGTTCAAGGTAATAGAAGACATCTGCTTTTTGGAGATTAAAAAAAAAATCTTATAAATGTCAAATTTATGCCAGCAGAATTGTTGAAAACTTTAAAGTATTTTCACAACACTGTTATTTAAAGGGAGGAGGGTTAATTAGAGAGGAAATGAGGGATATGAGGCGGTACGCTGCCAATTATCTTCCCTCGTTAAACACTAAGAATGGATCAAGAAAAACCTTTCAGATCAGTTGCTACCAAACAGTAAGGATGTGTAAAATTGAACAAATAGCTTTTATTGAAGCAACTATAATGTTTACTTAATAAGATAATAACACTTACTGAAAATGGTCTACATCTTTCATTCTCAAAAAGCTTTTAGAGGATGTTATCCCACAGAGGTAACCCACATTTATAGTCACAGGAAAAATTTCAGACAGGTTTTCAGAATTTTGTATTATCCTTAAGAATTTTTTATTTCCAGTTTTATCCTGTTCAGGGTCACAGTGGGTGGGGTCAAGCCTCTCCCCTCTGTCAGGCAGAGGTACCAGCTTTAGTCCAGCTTTATATTAAAGCAAGCTATGTTTCTATTTTTGCATGTTATGCAAATAAAATAAAATGGCTCAAACGTTAAGCTTCAAAGACAGTGGCAGATGTTTTTTTTTTAGACAATACCAGAGGGATTTTTTTTTTTTTCTGGCTGGAGTTTCCAACTGCAGTTTCCGATCTAGAATACTGATATGAGGCAAATGTCACCATTGTCATTCAGTTTGTAGCAAGGTTTGCATTTAAATATGAGGTTCAGTTTATAAACTGGTAAGTTTTTATGTATTTCATTTGTCTGCTGGGATAAAAATTGGGAAAGAAAAAAAAATCTGTCATTGGCTTCGTACCTGGAAGGAGGAGGAGGATTCCTAAATTCAAATTCAACTCTGATTTCTATTTTCTTGTAAAGTGTTCCAGATAGAGGAGCATTCAGATTTGGGGGACTGATATTTAAATGACCAGAGCTCTTTATTCATGCATGTGTGCCTGCGCTACTCTAGCTGGCGGTAAAATAAAGGGAGACAGGCCCCGCATGCAGCGAGAGCTACGACTGGCAGAAAAGAGAAGTGGGTCATCTATATGCCAGCTGTGCAGTCGGCATTAAACTTCCCCACTGCCTCGACAGCGGAGAACACATAACGTGAGAAAGAGAATTAGCAGAATACTATTGTATATTTCTTTTTTTTCACAGAGAAAGTGTCAATTTAAATGATAAAGAAACAAAAAGGATAAGCTGCATTATGTCCAGTGTAAGCCATAGATAGAGATACAGCAGTAGGACAAGTTTGGGAAAAAAGACAGATGAAAGCAGACAGAGTAAATAAGTAAAACGGAGGCCCTGAGATGGAGTTCTTATCAGCAGAATAAAGTGACAAAAATGAGGTCAACTGTGCTTTTCACTAGATTTTTCTCCAGATGTTCTTGTAGTTTACTGTGCTGAGCACTACAGACGACTTCACAGAGCTTCTCTTTTGTTGCATAATCCACTTGAAACACAACCAGCCGAGTTAGTTTGATTGTGTAACTGTTTCTACTCGTAATGTCATTGGAGTTTTCTAGACGTGTGGAACTAAAACGCGGTTCGCTTCTGTGCTCTGGTTCGTTTCCTAAACACACATGCCAGCAACACCAAGAGTGTGGAAGAATTGGGACAAAGGACTAAATAACTTCATTGCACTTAAGTTTAAGGCGAACATGTTTGCAGTGGAAAGCAATGTAAACTTAAGGCAGCATGGATTAAAATGTCTAGAATATCTTACAAAAAAAAGACTAGATTAAAAGTCACTCATTGCAATTCCTTGTGTAAATAACCAAACATAAAACACAATTGAATGCATTCTCCTCCAGCCTATAAATAATAATATAAAACAATTCCTCTAGTATTCGTACACAGTTTGAGCAGCATGTTTGCAGACATGTTGCCTAACCTCTACCACAGTTGACATCAGCTGCCTCACCCAGCCAGAGTTAAAACAAAATGAAAACACTGCTTTTGTTCTTTTTGCATTTCAGCACAGTGAGACCCGACCTCTGTTTGAAGGTAGAATGGTTGCAGGTAATTGCAGTAAATTCCTTCCTTGAAGGGAACATGTGCTCCTTTTCTCTGCTATGGATTTATTAGCCTCCTTTCCATGTCAGTTGGTTTGTTAGGGTTTTTTTTCCACTAACATGAGAAGATTATAGAGGCAAAATAATAGGGAAAATAACAAAAAACATAGATTAAAGCACTGAGAGGCTGTGAAAAGAGAGTAAAAAAAAACAAGATAGGAGATGAAACAAGAGGATTGAAAGGCCAGTCTGGTCTGTAGGAGTAGATTAGTATTTAGGGGGGATGACCACCACGGGATCACCCTTCTTTGGCCGCCACATAAGCACCTGGGCATCATTGGCGTTGGGTTTCACCATGGCGTTGGGGGGGATGGGTTCATTCTTGCCCAATATTTGAGGCTGTTCCTGAGCCACAGGCTCCTTTAAAACAGCCCTTTGACCCAGAGGTTTCTCTGGGTCCACATGAATGTCAAGCCGCATCCTCCAGCGGATTGTCCGGAGGACGACTGTCTCTGAGGTGGCCTGGTTGATGGCAACTAGCCAGGTGGTAAAACTCTGGTTGCGCTGGATGCTGCTGAGCAGTGGCAGGTTGCTGTCGCTGACCGGCACTCCCCAGGTGACACTGGGGTAAAAATTGTCATTCATGTTAACTGTGAACTTGCTGTCCCTCTTTGTGGGCCCCACCACGGTGAAGGTCTCTGTTGTGTTGCCATACCAGGGGTAGTTGACGCCATCCGAGTCACTTATTGCACGGATCTTACTGTCTCGCAGGTCAGGAAGCTCCCAACTTGACCTAGGTGTAAGGAAATGACACAAATGATGATTTAAAAAGAAACAGAGCCTCTTTTAGATTCCTCAGGGTCAAAGATTTCCAAACTCTATCTTGAAAATACCGTGTTAAGTTTCCCTGATTTCCTCTTTAGAAGGTCGTATTTTAAAACCTTTAGACCCACAACTGTTATATACCCCAAGGAAACTCTAAATGATTAGTATAGGGTGGTTTTAAGATTGAAGGACAATGAAAAAAGAAAAAAACATTTAAAATGCAAAAAACAAAGGCAATTTGATAAAACTGTTTTACAAAAGCAGGTTGACTCATCTCCCTTACTCATTATAAATCAGGCAAAATACAACAGAAGACTTTATCACTGCTTTGGGATGTTCAGACCTGGTCTGAACCAGCGACATGCAAACACAGCCAGGTATCAAACAATGTTTGTTCCCATGATGCTCCTATTTATAGAAACCACACACCACTGAGTTTTTCTAAATTAACCTAACTGATACCTCATTAAATGAACCCATCAAATCCACATTTACTCGAGAGAGCAGAAAGTGAGAAAAAAAGCAAGGATTAAAAAAAAACTTTTAATAGGCAACCAAAAGTTTTACTCGGTAATTTCATAACCATTTGGGAAGTCCATGTAATCCATGGTGTAAAAATTCTTAAGAGTTGAAAATCTCAACTTGTGTGGGCCTTGAATTTACATATAGTGCGCATCAGTCCAGGTCATTTGTACTTAGAGAAATTGCAGCACAACTGATATCTTAGAAGTCTGGGTTTAGCTGCAAAATTCAGTAAATTGAGTTGTTTTTTAAGTTAAGCCGAAGAACCATCCTGATATTAATCTGAAATATTTTTTTCTGGAACAGTATTGAACTTTTCAATTTTAGCATGTTTAAAAAAAGTTATGAAGAACCTTTACAAATAGTCTTGTTGCTAAATAAGAGGGATAGGCATGCGCCGACTGCAAAAAGTGATCATTTTAAACACATAAATTCATTTACATTCCTTTTTCCCATATATTTGTGAGGATCTGCAAAATGCTTTAAAAAATGAAGGTAGCCTAAACACCCACTAAACAATTTAGAAAAGGCATAACCAGAGGTCCCAAAATCAGTGGCATATTTTATTAAACCAACTTCACTAAAGCATTTCTTACCTCAAATTTTACCTTTGAAGTACAATTTGAGGTAAAAAAATGTCAAATAACTTAAGTTATTATTATCTGCAATGGACTGGCGACCTGTCCAGGGTGTACCCTGCCTCTCGCCCATTGACTGCTGGAGATAGGCACCCCTCGCGACCCCACTTGGGACAAGCGTGTAAGAAAATGGATAGATGGATGGATGGAACTTAAGTTATTATTTCACATCTACTCCATAGCATGCAACATGGAGGCCATTTTCTTTTAGCCACGCTTTAAAATTGGAAATTTTTGTTGATTTTGTAACATAACCACTATGTTATTTTTTCACCTTTTGTATAAAGCACTTTAAACTGTACCAATGATATACTGTCTGGTAGAACAGTTATGTCTTGGATAAAATTATTTCAAAACTCCACTGGGTAAAAAATGATGATGTAAATTAATATGCTGGGTTTTTTTGGTGTGGAAACATTTTTGAATAAAAAGGGGTGTGTGCATCGGCGCGCGCGGCTCGACAGGTGAGAAAGACGCGCACTGACAGGTCTGTGCAGCGGGAGATTTTGTCTTGTTGTCCGTTAAAAAGAAATCGAAAAATAAAGGAAGAAAGATGAACCACGGACAGAGTTTGTCCCAGCGCCGCAGATCACCGCAGAGATTTGAGGTAAACTGATTGTCGGAGTTTGCACCCAGAGGACGCCGCCCGGTGCAAAGAGACGCCGCCCAGGGGGAAAAAAGGACGCTCCGGTGAGATCTGGACCTTATTTTTCCTTTTGGGGATTTTTGGTGGTACCACTCTTTTTCTAATCCTTTTTTGGGGCGGGTTTACTGTTTGGATTTTTCGTTTAGCAAAAGACTTTGGACTGAAACGGTTCCAGGATTTTACTTTGGGTTCGAAGTGTATGGAACTCCTGTTGGGACATTATTATAAGAAGAAAAAAGAGACGGACAGTTTTGGACTTTCAGTTATTAGCGATGTTTTTGTTTGTTTTTTGCGGATATAAATTGAGACTTTGAGTTTACTTATAAACTGGTTGTGAAGGTTTTTTGGTTTATTTATCATTTATATTGAAATATTATTGAATTAAACTTTGGATTTCCTCGGTAATAGTTTTTTTTATTATTATTATTATTATTTTAAATAAATCTTTGTTTTTCCTTAAAATTGTAATATTTTGCCTGATTTCCTGTGAAAAAACCCCCTTGAGTTTTTGTGAGTTCCGCTTTAATCTGGCTGAATTTTACAAAATGGTGGCCAGTATGGGGCCAGGAATATAATATCAGGTTTTGTGTTACATGAGGTGATACATTTAAAGAGAATCTTGTTTTACATTTGGATTTATTTAATTTGAGTGTTTTTTCTTTTAAGATGGATAACACACCCTCTCAATCACAACATGCTGAGGAAAGAGATATTGATCAGGATGAGGAAGAAAATGGAGCAGGTCTTCTTGTAGATCAGGAAGAGGCAATTAGCACCAGAGGGGGAGAAACCTGGGTTACTAGGAGAAATCCAGTAGGTGAAATAACTTCTCTGATTAGCTCCCTTTATGTATCAGATAATGATGTTGAAGAAAGAGAAGACGAGGAGGAGGAATATCTCACTATGTCAGACATAAATTGTATCAGGAATGATTTAACCAACATGGGGGTTAGGATTTCATCATTGGAAGAAGATTTTAGGGCGTCTGTAGAAAGTGCTTTGAATAGGGAGCAAAACATCAGGACATATGTAGACAGAAATGTTGAGGCCCTGGAGCAATGCATGAACACAGCCTTTAAGGAATTTGAAGCTAAGATCGTAGACTGTTTGCTGCGACGAGATGAGAAGTGGAAGGCTGAGATAGAGAGGTTGAAGCGCGCTAGACTCTCTACAGCTATTCATTCCCTTGATAGTGGCAGACCAAGTCTCCCTGTGCCATCTGATCATCTCTCTTCTACCATGAAACATACTATCCCTGAAACATCATCTCCACCTTTAGCCCTACCTGTTCAAAGGGTACCACAAGGAAGCTTTGGATCTTCATGCCTTCAAAGGACGGATCAATCTACCACCTACATCCCTCCAGGAGCAGTTCCAGTCACGCCATCAACAAACTGTGGGATAGTAGACCTCCCGGCATTGACCTCCAATCAGACAGTTCCAACCTCAAGTAGAACATCTGTAGTCATTTCCAAGCCACCTGTGCACATGGAGTTTCCCACATTTGAGGGTGCAGAAGAGGTTTCTGATGTCTTAAATTTCATTGATCAGTGCGAGACATTCCTAACAGTACGGCCCCTGTCTGATCCTGAACTATTGGGAGCCTTAACAGCTGTCTTAAAGGGCTCTGCTCGGTACTGGTGGAGTGTGGCTAAAAACAAGGTTCACAACTGGCTTGAATTTAAAAATGCCTTTTGTGCTGCTTTTCTGCCTCCCGATTATCTGTCAGAGGTGGAAGAGAAATTGAGAGACATGGTCCAGTTGCCAGAGCAATGTCTGAGAGATTTCGCCTTTGAGTATCAAGCACTATGTCTAAGATGGAAGCCAGACATCAGTGAGACGGAGCTTGTAAGAAGGATTTTAAACAACTGCAATCCGAAGATAGCAGGCTGTCTTCGTGGCACAGTCAACTCTATTGATCAGCTAATAAAGGTGGGATCCCAGGTTGAAAAAGACTGTGCTGGTGTAAAAATCTACTGGGGTAAAGTGGATCAGCATAAAGCCAAAGGAAAAGGCCCAGCAAGACCTAAGGCGAACCCCAGAAAGCCAGCCGACTCTGTATCTGTGGTTCAGCGAGGCCCTGCATCCTCTCTCCTTCATGTTCCCATAGAGGTGCGTGACAGGATGTATAATGCTGTTCTGGATACAGCTTGCACCTATTCCCTGATGAGAAATAGTCAGTGGAAAATAATTGCTCGAGAAGGGGAGGTTTTAAAGCCAGCTGACAACCAGAAGTTTGCTCTTGCCAATGGCAAAACCTACAGCGCTTTGGGGAAAGCGACAATCATTTACAGTTGGCATGGGATGATGTGGTCTTTAGAGACTTTTGTGGTTGAGGATAATAATCTCACCTTTCCCATCATCCTAGGACTAGACTTTTTGACCAAAACTTCTACCATTATCACCCTAGGTGACCACACGTATGGGGTAAAAGGTCCAAAAGGTTATACCTTTTATCCTTTTTCATCATCAGCTGCTCCAGCATCGCCTGTGCATGCTACTCCTTCTCCACTTTCTTTGATCCTGGCTCTGCCCATGGAAGAGGACAAAATACCCAACACAGAATTGTATCTAAGGCAGACTCAACATCCACCAGAAGTCCAGAAGCTTCTGAAGGCCTGGCCATCTGTATGCTTGGAGACATTGGGTAGAACATCTGTGGAAGAACACCGGATAATAACTACCGATGACATACCCATTCGCTGCAGAGCTTACCGGGTGTCTCCTTTCAAGCGGCAAATAATAAAGGAGCATATTGAGGCAATGCTCAAAGACGATATTATAGAGCCATCACAGTCATCATGGGGATCTCCGGTTGTCCTTGTTCCCAAACCAGACAAATCTTTTCGATTTTGTGTGGACTACAGAGCTTTGAACACCAAAACTCTTCAGGATGCCTATCCCATGCCCATCATACATGAGCTGTTGGAGTCAATGACTGGAGCAAACATTTTCAGCACCCTGGACTTGAAGTCTGGATATTGGCAGATGGCAGTGGCAGATGACAGCAAAGCAAAAACTGCTGTTATTACTCCATTTGGACTTTATCAATTTAAGTGTATGCCATTTGGATTGAAAAACGCTGGAGCATCCTTTCAACGTTTAATGGAGAAAGTTTTAGGAGAGCTACGGGGAAAGATCTGCTGTGTCTACATCGATGAT